TGCATTTATTCAAAGTTTACTAAAGAGTGTAAAGTTATAATTTGCTTATATGTAGATAACATGCTAATTGTCGGTACAAATATGCACGACATATATGAAACTAAAAAATATTTATCTTTTAATTTTAAAATGAAAGATTTGGGAGAATTGGATTCAATTTTAGTTATCAAAATGATCAATTATAGTAGGGGTTATGCTTTAAGTTAAGGCCACTATGTGAAAAAAAATGTTAAAAAATATCAACCTTTGGGAATTAAACAGTCAATTGTACTATAGGATGTGTCAATCAAATTGATGGCAGATACTGGCTAATCTTAAGCACAATTAGAATATGCTAGTGTAATTGAAAATTTGTTGTATCTTATGCATTGCGCTAGATTGGATATAACCTTTATAGTGTGTAAATTGTTTATATTTACTAGTAATCCTGGTATTGTGCATTAGAAGGTCATAAGTATAATTCTTGGTTATCTAAAGAATGCAATAAATTATGGTCTATTTCATGGAAGACAACTAGCAGTACCAGAAGAATATTCAGACGCTAGACGGATACTAGTGCAATTGATAACAAGTCGACATCTGGATGGGTTTTCAAGCTTGCAAATCGTGCAGTCTCTTGTGCATCAAAGAAGCAAATATGTATAGCTCATTCAACGATGGAATCTGAATTTATAACACTATCGACAGTTGGTACAGAGGCTGAATGGCTGTAGAATTTGCTATTGGATATAAGTTGTGGCTACAATCATTGACAGCCATATCTTTACATTGCGATAGTGAGGCAATAATGTCTAAGGCATACAGTAAAACATACAATGGAAAATCTAGACCTATTTGTTTGCGATATGAGTATGTTCCACAACTAATTATTGAGGGAATTATTTCAATAATTTATTGGCTGATCCATTCACTAAGGGACTGTCAAGAGGTTTAATAAGCAGTACTTCAAAAGGAATGGATCTTAGACCAATTGATAATAGCCAAACATAATGGATACCCAATGTTAACAACTTTACAACTAACGAAATTGTCAAACTTCAATAGGTAACAACAAGCTATTGTATCTTCATAGTGAACAAGTATTAGGGGACAAGGTTAGTACTCATGAAAAGCTAGGAGGATGAATGTAAGAAAGCACTATTAATGAAGTTCAGGTTTTAGAAAAGCAAGAGTAAGGTAATAAGTTAGGGATTTCACCTATATGAACATTAGAGTTGTGCCACTTCTAACAAAAGTTGGATGAGCTTTTATAAATGTTCATGAATCCAGAAAGCAACATAAGTCTATAAAAGTGTTAAAGCATAGGAAATTTTTTACCGAATGTGTGTAAATTCATATGTGTGATAATTCGATTAACAAATTGAATCGGTTCAAAGTTTTACCTACCATTGGTTTCATTAATCTAACTATTTACACTAATTGGAGGTTCAAATCCTAATAGATATTCTTATACATATGAATTTATGTAAATTAGTACATGTAATAAACTTAGTGGGGGATCATTGAAATAGTTTGTTATCTATAAATAATTAAGAGAAATGAAATGATTATTGGATATGAAAAGAAGTGATGGTTTATCGCGAAAATTGTGATGGTTTCGATAAGGTGCATATTCCTAAGATAATGTGTTGTTTAGTGCCTATAATAAGACTAAATCACACATTGTTAATAAAAGAAAAATAACTTTCTCTTCTTCATAATTCTCTCTTCTTCTCTTTTCTTACACAAGTTTGACAACACAATTAAAGGTGAAATTTTAGGAGGGAAAATGAGTAATTACTAAGCTCTATGGCTTTAATGTATATCTCGGAGGTATATTAGCTTTAAACCTAATAGTAATAATAGCATAGGCAAATAGTACCTTGACAGTGATCATTATCACACACCAAAACATCCCAAAACTATAAATTACTGCTCCTATCTTCATTAGCAATCAAAATTTCGCAACATAATCTAAACGATTGCAAGTCTAACTTTTTAGCAGCTAATAAACACCACGTGAGAATGTAGCATCAATCACCGTTTCAACAATTAAGAAAGGAAAAAGTAAACAAAATCATCAAAATAAAAAGTAAATAAAATCATCAAAACAAAGTAGTAATCAGTATCTTATGGTCCTCTTTAGTGAGATGCCACACTTTTGACATGTTGCTCAAAAAATCCAATTTGAGTGAATTCTTCCCCCGACTAACGAAGAGATTTTGGCGGAATTGCTAGTATCTACGTATTGAATAGAAAAGGGACTCCTTTTCGCCGAAAATTATGTAGTTGATGTCCACCATTTTCATATTTTCTTGGGAAAATCAAGAAACGAAAACCAACTTTCTTTGTCAAAGAAAACGAACAATTAATGAAATTCAATCAAATAACACATGAAAGCTACCAAGAAGAGAAAGATCAAAGGATCTAGCACATGTACTTTGAAGAGAGACTACTTCTCTCATTCAACCATCTCAGAAATCTAGTGAAGCAAACTTAGGAGAATTATCATTGCGCCCGTTGCATCATTTTTTTTTTCACATTTAAATCTCCATTTGAAAATCACATTACACCATATTACATGATCTTATATAATCAAACAATATATAGAAGTATACCTCCATTCTACTCGGACATAAGCTAACAAAAGACTGGGAAAGAAGGAGAAAATCCACAAAAAACACTAATCAGAATTTGAATTTGGGGTTTTTGATTTTTAGGATTTTACCCATTTTTTTGCCTTGCCCCTGTTTCAATTGCCGAAACATGCTTGCCCACGAAGATTTGGCCAATCGGCGAGTTCCGTCGTTATTTGAGACTCACTTAGGCATCTTAGATCCTTTTACTTTGGATCCTTTTTTGAAAAAAACAGTTGCACTTTAGGTTTTTATTTGAATTTTTTTCTTGAATGAAAAAGAGTGGAAGACACCAAAAGAACATCTCTCTAGTCTCCATATGTTCTGTGAAAGATGAATGACATGCAAAATATTTTTTCCAAAAATGATCGCTTGTATCTATTGGGGCTAACAAAGTAACTTAGAATGAGAGTTAAATAGGTTGAGTGATGATGATAAAAAAGCATTTGCGGAATACGATAGCATGCTAAACAAAACAGCGTGTGATAATGATAAGCAGATCATAGTGAATCAAGACAATCACTCAGCGATTTATAGTGGTTCGGCTTTATATCCAAGCCTACATCCACTCTCAGACTAATAGCCTTAACGGCGACTGGATTCCACTAATGATCAGTAGAGCAAGTTACAACCGGTTAGTGTTGTTCCTTACAAATAATAGATCACACTATTAGGATACACACATTGTTCTTACACTTGTATACCCGACTATCAGTTGTTCTAATGCTAAACCAATATAGAGAGCAATACAAAGTAAGATTAACTACAGTTTCTGTTTGTGATAATAATTGCAGTATTCAATGTAACCAACCCTCTTGACGACATCAATGCTCCTTATCTACTGGAATTTTCAAGGTGTTTGTTGGAGATCGGTTAGCCGTTGAGAGTTGTTGGAGGAGACCGTTGACAGAATCAATACTGATTATGCAGTTGCTTCTTCTGCCATTTTTAGGTTTCCTAAAGTAGGCCCTACTGCATCTGTCAGAACTCTAAGCTGTCAGCTGCTTTTCAGATTGCTTTTACCCAGTTTTTTTGCTATGAAATCCAGTCCTGTAACGGCTACATTCTGAACAATCAACGGTCATCTTTCCAGAGCGTATCTCACTATCATCAGACCAAATGCATCACCATCACATACTCTTACCATCATCGGTGCTGATTGTGAGTGAGTTGGTTGACTATCTTCAGTGATGATACCAACTGAATAACACGAGATGTTCAAATCAATGATTCTCCAATTATTGTAAGTACCAAAGACCTTCAAGAACACTATAATGACTCATCCTCAAAATATTAGTTTCTCATCTTTGCTAACAAGCTGGATCATTGATAATGTATAACCAATTTCATTACGTGCATTCGTCATGGTAACAGATAGAACTCAGAGATAGTTTGGTGATGATCAAAATATCATAGAGATAGTTTGGCCAACCCTCTTCATAGCATCATTGCTCCTAATATACTGGGATTCTCAAGGTGTCCACTAGAGATTGGCTAGCCGTTGAGAGTCGTTAACGAGACCATTGACAGAATAAGCACTGCTCATGCAGTCGCTCCCTCTACTAGTTTTAATTTTCCTTGAAATAGGCCTGCTGCATTTGTCAGAATGGTAAGCAGTCAACTGCTTTTCAAATTACTTTCCCGGGGTTTCTGCTACGAAATCCAATCCTGTAACGGCTACATTTTGAACCATTAACGGTCATCTTTATAGAGCGTATCCCACTATCATTAGATCAAATGCATCACCATCACTATCATACGCACGTAATCACCAATACTAATTGTGAGTGACCTGGCTAACTATCTTTAGTGATGATACCAGGTGAATGACACGAGATGTTGAGATCAATGATTCTCCAATTCTTATAAATAGCTAAGACCTTCCAAGAACACTATCATGACTGATCCTTAGACTCATACTATTAGTTTCTCGTCGTTGCAAACAAGCTGGATCACCGATAATGTATAACCAATTTCACTTTTGGCATTCGTCATGGTAACACTTAGAACTCGGAGATAGTTTAATGATCATCAAAATATTATAGGGATAGTTTTCCAACAGTATCGCTTAAAGAACGAAGAACGAAAAATATTTTCATCGTTCAAAAAAATGTTGAGACATAAACTGTTGTTTATAATGAAAATATTTTTCATCGACATTTGAAGCAATGAAAATATTTTTCATTGACATTTGAAGCAACGCGAGCGATCATTCATCGGAAAATATTTTTCAAATCATTCATTTTTTACAAAATAAATGTAGCATAAATAATAGATATACATAGATAATAAATCGTCAACAATAACCCTAGACTCCCCTCTTATTTTAATCCAATTCTAGGGATTCTATAATTCATGTTTCTTAGGATGGTAAAATTGTAAATGCCAACAAAGCCCCGATCAAAGCGCGGACCGAGCACAGAGGAGGGAAGTGCGAAACCCTTCTCTTCAAGCTTCGTCAACTCTCGTGCTGCGACGGCGTTGGGCGACCGGAACCTTCGACTCTTTCTCAACCATGGTGTACATAACTTCCTGGGACGAGTTCGTCGATCGATCGGTTCAGCTGTTCCGCGCCGACCCAGAATCTGTATGTGTTCAATCCCTCTCTCGTCCTCTTGTGATTGCTAAAGAAAAGGTCGATCCGGGAAGAAAACGGAGAAAGATTTGATCTTTGGTCGATAATGTAGTTGACGCGCGGCGTGAATTTCGTGGGTCGATTTCGATTTCGCACTCGTTGGGTTTTCTGCAATGCTAATTCGCTGACGATGGGATTTTTTTCGGGGGTTTTCGCAGACGCGGTATAGCATGAAGTACCGTCACTGCGATGGGAAATTGGTCCTCAAGGTCACGGACAATCGGGAGGTACGTGAATCGATGCTGTTTAACTTCTTTGCTTTTCTTTTCTTCCTACTGTTTCTTGTGATGTGAGATTGTGTTTGGAATCGGCGAGTGAGATGTTTCGAGTTTTCGACTGCGCTTGATGGTCTTTCATGGAAGAGAAGGATTTGCCAGAATGTTGAAATTTGTGCCTTGTTGATGCGATGCTATTGCTTTTGGATCTGGGGAAGTGGAATGCATGTTGGTGCTCGATATGCTGGTTCGGATTGTCGACGTAATTTATGCCCTTTCGATGTTTTAACAAGCCTTGTTGGTGAAAGTTGTATCGAAACTGTTCTTATGTGTTTTCAAGTCGGTATGTGGTTTAATTTCAGCAACTGTAATCTGAATTGACCCCGAAGCTTCATCTGTAAAAGTGCCCCGAGGGTATTGTGCAGTTGTCCTGGGGGTTGTCATGTCAAATTATTGGCTGCATTGAGAACAATCTCTCAATCGTTAGTGGCTGCTGTTATGAGATAGTTTTGCAGAAGACATAGAATATACGATAAAGGAATTGAATATGACAAGCTTCTTAGCTGTCTTTAGAATTTAAGGTAGTGACGAGATCGTTCAATACATATGGCCGTTTCTTATGATAATTATGTTTATTTAGCTGGTAGGATTTTGTGAGCTGTATCTTTAACTGCATTGGTGTTTTGCTTTGTTTTACCAATATTATGCCAGTCAGCAGTTGGAAATTTGGGACTTCCCATGTTCTAAAAGGAATGTACAATAAGGATTAACCTGTTCACTACATAGAACAGAGAAAGGGAATCATGGAGGGATAGTTCTGAATCAAAATATAGTGAACTTATTTTCCTTTCTCCTTTGTTCTGGCTTTTCTTTGTTTTGTTATTGGCCTATTTTGTGTGGATTTCTATCGCCAAGTGATTCATGAAGGGAAAGGAGAGTGGAAGAATGATTACGTAGGAAATTGAAGATACAATCATAGTTTTCTTTAAAGAATTAATAATTCTCTCCCAGTATGTAACATGATGTACTACTGAAAAGCTTCATCAGCTTTGCTATCTGCAACTATATTTTTTTTTAGTATTTCATGTTGTCAGCGAAACATCTTGTTTATTGCTTCATCAAATAGGAAAAAAGTTATTGTTCCTTAGGGAAATGAGAGGGCTGCAATTATTGTGTTCTTGACTATTGGTGTTCTAGCATCATTTGCTTGGAAACCCTCACAAGTTTCTAAGTTGAATGAGGCTTTATTTCCTTGTTCAACTGTTGTTGGGCCTTCTCTTTTAACGAAAATATATTCATCAACTATCTCAATTTGCCTATCATATAGATCTAAAATCCATATAACAACAGTGCTCTTTGAGCAGAGCCTGAACAGTACTCTTTTATGGTGAATTTGGTATAAGAGAAGGAAATGTTATCTTCCACATCACGGACAATGTCATAAAACCACAAATCTCTTATTTTGGACACGAGATTCACGAGCTATTGATAACATGTATCTGTTCCCACGATTTATCTTTTGATTAATATTTTAGAGCTGATGAAATTACAGATGGAAATTTAGACTTATATCGATGATAATCTTGCTGCCTGCTTAAACATTGTTTCATCAGTCAACGTTCATCTTTTATGCTATCCGTGCTTGCAATTAGTATGAGGGGCCTCAAGATCAAATTATGCCTCTTTATACCAATTTAAGCTTTTCAGATGGGTACGCCCTATTTTTGCGTTTGAATTATACCAATTTAATCTTTTCAGATTGCTGTGCAATTGGTTTTACGTTCAGAATTCTATGTTTCTCTTTTTTTCCCATTAACATTGATTTGGATGCTTTAAGCGTAGGATATGCCCTCAACTACGCATGGGGATATTTACAATTTCATATTAAACCATTTCTTCATTTGTTTAGTTTCCTTTTGGCTTACAATCAGGTCTTTCTTTGGTAGCCCAAAATGTTGGGGATTGACCCCTTTTTCGCTATTTCTATGATTACAACCTACAAGAAGCATTCACACTGAACTAGTTATGCTTGATGAACTAATTGGTCTTATTAGCTTGATGTGGAGTCAACTTTGCATCATCCTTATCCATATGAATCCTTGTCAAATATGGGTATTTTGAGGTACAAAGAATCATGTGTCAAAATGAAAGCCCTGCTTGAACATATCAGGCCTGCTCTCTGTCGGTGTGAAACACTAGCTTATACTGTAGCAAAATATTTTGGCCTCGACCAAACTAGACTGGGCCTATTCAGTTGGTACAGACCAAGCCTGAAGTTTCAAGTGAACTGTCTTTGAAGAAAAAAATCTAGCAAATCAGTTGTGAAGCTCGAAAAATCTACTACACCATGGCATTGGAAACTGAACTTAAGCAGAGATTTGCAAGTTTGCTTCTTACATCTGGCAATGAAGATGTACAATTGGTCCAAAAAGTAGAAAGATCCGCAGGTGAAAATGAAGACCCAGTTGCTCCACTGTGCAATGGAAAGAAACCAAGATCTCATAATGAAGTGGTATTTTGCAGTTATTACTACTTTAGCAATTTTTGCAGTTATTACTTCTTTAGCAATGAAAAAAAGAACCTGAGGAAGTGGGCTGTAGGTGGACCCCTGGTGATGGTGGCATGAGAGACGAGAGATGTCAGATGTGAGTGACGGAGAGATTGACAAGGAGAGAGGCTGAGAGGTGGGATGGAGAGGTTGATTGGTGGTAGTTGAGGCGCCGGTGGGGTGGCTAACGAGTGAGTAGACAAGGAAGATGAGCAGACTCAAGAGAGAAGTACAGAGAACGAAGAGGCAAGAGAGTGAATCCGAGGGATAGAAATAATTAGATTAGATTAAGAAAAAGTTAGGGTTCCCCTTATTTTGAACACCCCTGGCTATATCCTGTCCTTTTCTCAAGCAATGGCTCAAGTGGATCCGGGCCCATTCGGGCTTCACTATCTGAAACACAGTAGCCTTGACTGGCCCAAAAACCTTTCTTAGGCCCGGTAGTGGGCTGAATTTGTTCACCCCGAGCATGCAGGCTGAGAGGTGGAGATGGAGAGGTAGATTGGTGGTGGTTGAGGCGCCAGTGGGGTGGATAACAAGTGAGAAGACAAGTTAGATGAGCAGACTCAAGAGAGAAGCATGGAGAACGAAGAGGCGAGAGAGTGAATCCGAGGGATAGAAATAATTAGATTAAATTTAAAAAAAAAAAAAAAAAAAGGTAGGGTTCCCCTTATTTTGAACACCCCTAGCTATACCCTGCCCTTTTTTCAAGTAATGGCTCGAGCGGATCCGGGCCTATTCGGGCTTCACTATCTGAAACACGGTAATGTTGACCGGCCCAAAAACCTTTCTTAGGCCCTGTAACGGGGCGAATTTGTACACCTCGAGCATGCAGGGATATGGGTGTTGATGGTTGCTTTAAGAGTTGAAGACGGTAGAGGTTCTATTAACCAGTTTTCGCCATTGAGCATTCCATTTCATATAGTGGAGAGAATCCTGTCTCCGTATTTAGGTGGGAGAGGCAATATCTGAATTTAGAGAATTGCGATGCATCTGAATGGCTTATTTAATTAAGTACTTTTTTAACGATTGAATGACTAAAATACTTTTTGAGACACCACTTTGATGCTGTATATTGCAGCGATGCTTGTTATCAAGAATCTTACCGAATTAAACATCTTGACTGTGCACATAATGACATCAGTTGTTTTCACTATTTTAGAATCGGGACTCAAATTGGAAATGACATGGTATGAGGTTTCTGTCGTAAGATGCTAGAGCACAGATCCCTCCCTCTTTTCAGTAGCATAAATCTCAGTCACTTTTATCTCTAGTTGCATTTGTATAACTCCGTAGTGGAGCCTGGTCTATGCTACTAGGTTTATTTAAATGCTTGCTTTTATAATGGTAGCTATGTAGAATGATACTGCCACATTGTGCTTTTAATTTGTTGGCATTCATTTGCCTATTCCAGAAATAGGTGCTTATTAAAGCCAATTCCATAAAATATGTGTCTGTGGACCAAGAGAATGAAGAATGATCAATTATCGTACAAACTTAGAGTTCGTTAGTGAGCATCAGTTTGGAATATCTGTGCTGCGATGCGCACTCTTTATTTCATGTTGTGTTTTTCTCTGTGGCTATGGCCACTGCAATTATAAGTTTTCCTATTTATAATTTGATTATCTAATTTAGATGTGCTTGCTTCATATCAGTGTCTCAAGTTCAAAACAGACCAGGCACAAGATGCTAAAAAGATGGAGAAGCTCAACAACATATTCTTTACCTTGATGGCTCGTGGTCCCGATGGTATTTTCATCTATCGAACTAAATATTATATTCGGTTTCAATTTTGCTTCCAAAACTTCTATTGGTACACATCTCAGCATGAAGATCTTTACATATGGTTTTGGTAGATGTAGATGGGCCTGAGACCGCTATCAAAATGTGAACCTTGAGCATTGCATGAGCTGAAATTGCGATATTCCAATCTCTTTTACGGGCACCTAAGTCTCTCATATTACCATATTCCCTATCTATTTGGTTTTGCAGCGGATGTGGCGGAAGCTGCGGGCAAAGATCCGACGGAAGCACAGGCCACGAAGAAAGGAAGAGGAAGAAAGCAATAGTTTCTTTGGCTGATAAACATGAGTAGGCTTTTTTCATTACAGGACTCGTGCATGAGAATTGGTCCCAGTAAAGGGGAAAAGGACCATGAGTTCGACATCTCGTTTTTACCGCTAGAATGCCCTTTAGCGAAGAAAGAAAGAAGTCGAGAAATGGGAAAAGGACGCGACTGTTTTTGCCGGCATTATTTTCTTAACTCCCCTTTAAATAGAGGTTTCTACTCTGAAAGAGGGTGTTGATAATGATCTTGCTACTTCAGATTTTGCTGGGTTTGGCTCATTTGGCTTCTCTTGGCATGAGGTTCACGGTACGGCTTCATGTCTCTGTAAATGGAGACCACTTTTGAAAACGATGGGGAGACGATCAAAACCAATTCGGATGAGATGTCTCTTTCTTTCCACGACTCCTTTTTTGATACTTTGGGGGTTAAAAAACAATTCTCAATTTGGTTACAAAAGGACAAAGCTCATATGCTTATGGAATCCTTCCCTTGATGAGCAAAGACTAATTTGGAAATGCTGAATTACATTTCATAGTACCTCACATCGTTTATTTTCTTTGTCGAAACGTGCTGAGTTTCATCTAACTAGTCACAAAATAGGAACAAAGCTTGTGAGTATCTGAACAGAGTAAATCCCAAAGAGGTAGGGGCTTAGTAAGCCAATTGGAAGAAAGAAATCCTTTTCGATGGGTCTTCGCGACCCAATAAGATGCTTGATTAGCTTCACGGGGCAATATTACCTCACATCATTTGAATGGGCCTGCTTGGTTAAGCTTTTGAAACACCAAAAAATCTTCTTCTTTTTTTTAACTTCCCGTTAAAATTAAGAATATTATCTAATTTTTCGAAAAGTTGTGAAAGAAATTTCATGTAAATATATGTATTAATATTTATATATCGTGAAAGTCTCAGGTGTTTTGAATTAAAAGAAGTCAATTGATCTTAGATATGCCTCCGTCTTACAAAGCAGAAGCAGAAGCATTTTTTACTTTGAAAGGCAAGTTGGACTACATTAATCGTTAATGAGTAGATGCTTGTCGGTTCTCTTTGTTTTGTTGTTATTGTGAAGAGTTAATACCACGAAAAATTCCAAACTGGTGCACCCGTGATAAATTTACCATAAACTAATTTTTTGACTACAAAAAACTCCAGACTTGTACATTTGTGACAAATTTACCCTTTGTTAAATTGGATTAATACCACGAAGATCATAAACGGGTGCACCTATAACAAACGGAGGGTTGTACACCGTTAATTATCACGAGTCATCCAACTCAGAAATTTGACAGTAAAACTTAACGGAAACTAACGGAGGGTAAAATTATCGCAAGTGTACCAGTTTGGGGTTTTTTGTGGTATTAACCGTATTGGGAATGCTTACACGTGCCTTTTTTAGCACTCTAACATGGACAAAAGAAAACATCGATTTGATACACCAGAAAGAATGGATTTGGCTCCCAAACTAGGTGATTCATCTCTTGATTAGAGACTCTTAAAATTTGCTGCATAAATTTGGGGTGTATTCAGGAATAATCCGCATCATCAGAAGACCTTCTCAACTTAATTTGACTTATAATCTGTTTGACCTAGGCTTCCCTTCTTCACTTGCTATTTCCTTCTACTCTTTCCTGGCCTCCTCAGCCCTCTTACTTCTGTCTCCTCTTCCTTCTTGGGCTCGCCTGCATCAGCAGCCTCTCCCTCGCTCTTCTCCTCTTTCTTTTCTCCATCCTGAAGAAGGGGGAAAGTGAAATATGAAGAGCATTAGTTCCCCTTATTGACAAAACTAATCGGTGCTCAATGGTTATATACCTTTCCTCATCGAAGGCGATGACAGAATTCGACGTGAATATATCTTCAGAATATCACCTTCATGGTTTGTTATATCGAACTCAATGTGTCTGCGAATTCTTGCGCATATCAACCGAGTCGGGTGATTGTACCTTATCCAGCAATGTACCTAGAGAGGGAGCATCCTTCTCATCTTCCGCCTTCTTCTCAATCTCGGCATTTTCTTCTTCCTTGGTCTCCTCAACCTCCATGTTCACCTCCACGGCCGTCTTCTGCTCCTCAACGAGGGCAAAGGCAGCGATTGACTCATCCATCGCGGGCTCTGGGGGGACTCCGCCGGCCCTCTTGAACTTGATGGGTATACTAGCACATCCACCCATGTTCCCTCTTTTTCAGTTGATTTAGGAAGAAGATAGTGATTTTCTGACTAAGAAAAAAATATTTCTAATACTGGAAAGCTAGGTAAAAGTCTCATGAAAAACTGATTAAGTTTTCCTTTGTCTGCCATTTGTACCTCTATATTCAAGGGAAAATAACACAAAACTCCTCCAAACTTTGGGGAAGTACACATTTAGCCCTAAACTTTTCATTGTTACACATCCCTTGGACTTTTATTTTGTTACGGTTGTTAATCCTCTATTAAATTTCCGTTAGTATGCGCAACTCATATGAGTTTTAAAGGATAAAAGTGTATTTCCATCTCATCTTTTAAGGAAACCTCCGTTTTACCATTGACTTATATAAAAACGATAAAATAAAGAAAATGGAGAAAAATATATTAGTGGAATTAACATGATATTTTAAGAAAAATAATTACAGTAAAGTAAAATGGGAAAAAGGTTTCAATAACTAAAGTGTCAAATTACAAAAAAATTGGATTCGCATTATGTATTTTTTAATGGTTAATTAATGCAAAAAAATGTTTGATCACTAAAAAATATTTGGATTTCAGTTAGTTATTTCATTCTATCAGTTAAGGACATCATTTCTTTTTAAGTTTCTTATATATTTTTATTAATCAATAATATTTTACATTAATTAACCCTTAAATGTATATAAAGACTAGTTTCCCTTCTATTTGATTTTGTTTATTCTTTTTCTGTAATTATCTTATTTAGTACTATTAAAGTCACCATATTTTCGACCCAAAAAAAAGTCACTATATTTACCCATTTTTAACAAATTTTTATTTTTTAAAATATTATTGGTATTTACTTTTTATATGATTAGTATATTGATAGTTTAGTTTTCCCTCATTTTCTTTATAATTTCATTTTTTACAGTAATTAAGGGGAAAAGAGTAATTCCTAATAAGAGACGAAAATATATTTTACCCATAAAAGTCAGGTGCATTACACATGCTAATGAAAAAAAAATAATAGAAATAGTGGTAGTAACAAAAATGAAGGTTAGGGGGATTATGTAACAGTTGAAAGTTCGAAAGCAAGCATGTGCGACTCAGAAGCTTCATGAGAAGTTTGTCTAATTTATCATTAATTACAAAATCTACCCTTTTTGCCCTTTGGTTTTGTGTATTACTTCTTTGTAAAATATTTCGAAATTTCGATTTGCAAAGTGAGAGCTATCGAAATTATAGAATATACATAGAAATGTGCGGATGCTTATTGTAATTGAGATAAACTTATATTCGAACAAGTATAGTCTTATGTACTCGAGCTAATCAAACGTGTACTCGAGCTAATCAAATTGATCTCTCAATAGAGTATGTATGTTCCTCCTGAGTCAATCGAGATCGATGCAGTACAATGTTGGACTTGGCCCGAGTCAAATCTTCTTGAGATTGCAATGAATTGAAATCGGGAAAATTGTTCAAAAAGTCCTAAAATTATTGTATTTTTGCCAATTTAGCCCTAAACCTTTCAATTTTGCTAATTAACTAAACATTTTCACATTTTGCTAATTGAGTCCATCCGATCAATTTGGGCCTAAAATCGCTGATGTGGACGCCGGCCGCCCTACGTGACACGGTCGACGCTGACATTGGCTTTTTTTATAATATTTTGATTTTTTTATTTTTCCTCTTTTTCTTTCTTTTTTTCCCTATTCTTTTTGCCAGTGGCTGAAGAACGGCCACCGGCCATAGGCGGTAGCCGGCAAGGCTAGCCCGTGGCCGATGGCTGAGCCACCAGCAAAAAGAGTAGGGATATAAAAGAAAGAAAAAATCAGAAAAATTATTTAAGAAATCATAAAAATTATTTTAAAAAATTCCATCTTAGTGCCAACCATGCTATATAAGATGGTCAGTATCCATGTAAGCAATTTCCGGCTAAAATTGGCCGGATGGACTCAATTGGCAAAAGGTGAAAAGGTTAGTACTCAATTGGCAAAATCAAAAGATTTAGGACTAAATTAAAAAAAAGTACAATAGATTTATGACTTTTTGAACAATTTTCCCAATTGAAATCGCTTGCAGATAGTTAAATTTTCTAATTCGAGAGCGAACATATTCGAGCTGCATTTGGCCACCATCACCACACTACTTGGATTCTGTCGGCATCTGCCACGGAAGAGCAACAATTCAAGGATCCAATGCAACACAAAAGTAGGAAAATTCACGGCTTATTCTCGAAATATTCTCTTTTCTAACTAGACGAAAAATATTATCTAGGGCATGCAAAATTTCGAATCTGTCAAACATCTTATGAACATGATGAACCAGATAAAACCCTTAAGTTAAATTCGGGTGCGTCACCCAATATAGAATTGTTGGTACCCAAGGAATCAAATCATATAATATGCTTTGCCTTTTTTTATGCCCCCTTCCATTTGTTCTTCACTTTTGTCCACCTTCTTTTTCAAAAAAGAGACTCCTAAAAGCTCAAACATGGCCTTTGCACGTCAGATTGACAGATTTTACATGAAAAAAATCCGACACTTTTCAATTAGGGTTTCATACTTTTTCTGGCCCCACCGTAATAACAAGGGTTAATACCACGAATAATCATAAACTGATACACATATGACAAATTTTTCGTCAAATTGCTGAGTTAGATGACACGTGTCAATTAACGGATGTACCGGTTTGGGATTTTACCCCTTTGTTTGTCATGTGTTTATCAATTTGTGATTTTTCGTAGTGTTAATTCAATTTGACGGAGGGTAAATTTGTCACAAGTTTACCAGTTTTGAATTTTTTGTGGTCAAAAAATTAGTTTTGGGTAAATTTATCACAAGTGTACCGGTTTGGAGTTTTTTGTGGTAAAAAAATTAGATCATGGTAAATTCGTCACAAGTGTACCGATTTAAGGTTTTTCGTGGCATTAATCCTAATAACAATAACCCAACATAAACGTTCCGAAAAGTCATATTAACCACGTTATCTTTTTGGTCACCTAAGCAGATAATTACTATTATTTACTATTTAATACATGCTCGAAGACATGGGTAACTTGCATCCCGCATATGAGCCGAGCTAGATGCAAAAGCACGAATAAAAAGAGAGAGAAGAAATTCAATAACCAATATATCAAGTTAATAAGTCACAAATAGTAATTTTTCCCTATTAAATGCTCTTAATTTCACCTAGCTTATCTTCACGTGATTTCTTTTTAAAAAATAAAGGCACCGGAGGTTCCTCAATTATTGTAAGTTGTTTAATATAATATCTCTAACTTTTTCTTGTTCAATCAACTCTCTAAGCTATATGCTTTTTTTTTTTGTTCGAGTTGGTCTTTCAGTAAAAAAGTGTGGGCAAAATTGCTGACGTGGTCGTAAAGTTTCCGTTAAATGATGATACGACATCCTACACAGTTAAAAAGGAAATCATAAAATAAATATTGAAAATAAATACTAAAAAAAGGATATTTGGGAACCAAAAGGAGAGAGACAACAAGGGAGGGAGGCGACATTGTTGCTTGGGTCGAACAATCCTGGCGACTGTTGGTCGAGGATCCCATGAGCCCAAGGAGGCGATGCCGACGATCACTCGACCCCGACAAGAGACAACTTAGGTCACACGAGCTCGGCTAAACCTAACATGGGGGCATACAAGCCTGATCAAATTGCGCGACCTCGACCCGGCATCGCCTTGCAGGACCCAACGAGCAACAACTAAGGTCTTGCAACCCAAGGTGTCACCTGATCGGGTTTGCATGACCCTATACCAAATTTGGCTCAAGTCACTTGACCCTAGGCGAGACTTGGATCGAGTCATGCCACCCCAGTCCAAATCCAGCCCTTGCAGAGGTTGCCTAGCAAAGGCTTGGTGGATGATTTTTTTTTTTTTTTTGCGTTCCTAGAATTTTATCCAATCAACACAAGAAAGTTACACGAAGCGCCAATTTGTCATGACAATGAGCACTTCTGTTTTTATTTCAACGGAAGGATCATCTCGAACAAAAAATATAAGCTTAGGGATTCAAGTACCACAAAATAGTTAAGTGACAATATTGAACAGTTTGTGATAATTTAGGGACCCTCGATGTGCCTACATCCTTAACTTTGATTCAAGGTTCATTATGAGCAATAGTCTATTGCTCACAAAAATAAACTGAAATTCAACCATTGATTGAAATATCATATCAGATATCGCGGTATCGCACCAGTAAAGAGGATAATGATGACTTGCTCTTTTTTGCTAGAGACTCAAACGCTATAGGGTAACTGGGTCGTCGCAGATCCCACAGCACCACTTTTTTCTTTTGCTTTTTTCTGCTTTTTTGTCATTAGAAAGCAAAAAGCAAAGCCTCGATTTCACACGCGACATGAAAGCAAGTAGAATTCTTCACTTTTTTTCTCTACATTTCCTGGATTTCCTTTTTCTTTTGTTATTCCTTTTGTCCTCATATTAAAGGCCGAAAAAGGGATTTTGATAAGATATTTGTTTGGTTTTTTTTTTTATAAACAGAATAAGAGGTTGATCATATTTCAGTTCATTCAATCACCGAATAACTTATGTAATTATGTACGTAGATCGTGAGTCGGCTTCCCTGGGTCACACAACCCCGGCGGTATGACTTCCCAAGGGGGACTCAACGGGCATGGGGGTGGCAGGGCCGTAAACGACGCATCTCGATGCAGATTGAAGAAGATGAAAGTAATTTCGAAATTGTGAAAATCTTTTGTGGGTAGAGTGGGGATCAAAAGTTTAATTAATGGATGGAAGTTGCATTAAAAGTCCCAAAGCCAAAAGGCAAGGCGTGTACCTTCTATGGGCTTTGCCAAGGCAAATTTTTGACTAAAAGTGGTCTAAAATTACTTGCCAAGCACCATAACTTTTACTCGAGACATTCGAGAGGCCAAAATTATTTTGTGAAGCATTCACAAATGGACGCTTAAAATTTTTGTTAACAAGCATCTTGCACTTGTTAAACACCTAAATAAAGAAAGAGTGTCGTTTCCGATACACCGCCTCTCCCGT